AAAGACAAGGCTTAAAAAGTGGGCTTCCCTAGTCAACCAAACAGCAGCACGTAAATGGAATAGAACGTTACGCTACAAGGAATGACAAATAGGTGGATACGCAGAAGCACGGAAAGACTCACATGAACTGATACAAAGTACATTAAGTCAGGAAAACCATACATGCAACGACCACAACCACGTGAAAGAAAGAATAAGCGTAACAAAATAATCACAAATGAAGGGTGTTAAAGGACAACACACGAGCTCGTGGCCAAAGAAGAGAATAGCAAATAATAACTCCCCCTATTCCTTTTCAGAGCTGGAGGGTCCAAGGGTACAAAGCATTTCATATAATAGCCAATTTTTTCCTTTTGATACATAGATGAATTTTGCTATTTTTTCCTCTTCTATTTATTTATTTATTTTTTGTTGTTGTAAAAGATAGCTCTGGGAGGGAAGGGGGAAGAATACAGGGGGAAATCATGGTGATAAAAAACCAAAAGATCAACAAAATCTCTTGTTTAAAAATTCTGCTTCCCTAAAGCTGGAAAATGGGCCCCTTTTCACATTATTATCTCTGCCAGGTTTCAAGCCTTTACTGTAAACATCTTTCAATCAATCACCAAACATTTATTAAGTGCCTACTATGTACTAGGCACTGTACTAAATACTGGGGATGCAAAAACGTTCCCCCCCCCAGGTATTTACATTGTACTGCAAAAGAAAATATATAAATACATAGTGATCTTTTGCGGGGGATCACTAGTAACTAGGGGAGGATCTGGAAAGGCTTCATATGGATGATGGCCTCTGAGCTGAGTCATGAAGAAAATTAGGGAGTCAGAGGAAATGGCAGGAAGTAGGGAATGCATTCCTGGCATGGGGGGCCGTTAGTGTAAATGTGCAGAGACGGGACTTGCGATTTGATTTTCCAAAAAATAAATGCTCGCGTGCCATGAAGAGTGGAAATTTCTACAAATAAAAAAAAAGTGCATTTATTAAAAGTTGTATGAAAAGTGTCCCTTGTGGCGTTCTAAATATGGCTGCCTACCTTGCCTACCCCATAAGTATTAGCTCTGCATAGAAGCACTGTGAGAATTAATATTTAGAAAGCAGAAAAGACTAACCAACAATTATGAAAAATATGCTCTGTAGCGCCCATTTCCCTGCGGCAAAAAAATATTTCTGGTATCAATACAAGATATCTTTCTGTATGCAATGAACAGGGAAGACTGAATAAACTTAGCACCCAAATAAGTCATTCAGAAAATTCAGGACCAAGGTTCATAAGGAAGCCTGGAGTACAGAACTGTGTGTACTGCCCTGCAATTGACCAGTGCTCTATTTCTAATTTTTTATCTGTGCTATTCAGTGACTTAGGATTCTTGATAAAACCAGCCCTACCATGCCAGGCCCCACTCCACCCCCCTAGAAGATCAACGATCACTTGGCCAAGAGTCATCATAATTTTTTTGCTCCCATAATATTCAAGGACTAATCTTCAGTAACTACAGGCTACACAAAACATTATTAATTTATCACCAAAGAAACTGTTTCTACTGTGGGTGATCAATCTCTGATAGCCATTCTGGCGTACAAGTCTGATAAACTGTACTCTGTATAATGTAGCTGCTTTGCATTTTGAATTTTTTATTTATAGAACAAGTCAAATTAATAACTCAGAAATGTTGTTTCATGCAAAGTAATAGACACACAATAAACCTATTCATTTCCTAAAAGGTCACTCTAGGAGATGCATACATTGTTTAAAAAGCCTACCAACAATGCTATTATTCCACAGAAAAGGGAAAATGTATAATAAGCAGTTCGGGCACATATCTGCACTGGAGACCTTAGGCTAATTTAAAGTAGAATCACAAGGCGATCAATCATACTCTAAAATTACTTCATTTTCCAAACTGTTTACACTTTTTAAGTTACAAATCCACTTTCTGCTATTTCAACTCACGATTTACAACTCCAGATTTAGCCTGCTTGGCTGACAGCCAAACGCGAGTCATGAGGGAACTAATGATATGAACAGATCAGTGTTTTATAATGGAGAAAAGCGCATGTAAATTTCCAGTATGTCTGCAAGTAATCAAGGCATTGCTGACTATAAATGAGGCCGTCTCAAATTTATTTTAGGAGAAATATCTTAAAGCTGTACTTCTTCTCCAGGCCAAAAAAACGCCTTTCAGAGGAACTCTGAGATTACTCAAATTATTGTAAATAAACTGTTATGCAAACAATATGTAAAGAATAGTACAATAGGTGACTTATTTCAACATTCCCTTCTCACATGCCCTTATCATGCTTTCTGGAATGCTGGAGTAATGGAAAGGAACAAAGAAAAGATTTTGCCTGCTTCTCTCCCTCTCTCTTTCCCTCTCCCCCTCTCTCTCCCTCCCTTCCTCCCTCCTTTCCTGTCCTCCCTCCCCACCCCCCAAATGCTGTTAACTGTAACAGCAAATTAAGTTTGTTTTAGTAGCCAAAAAATGCTCTAAATAAAAAAAAAAAAGAAGACCTCAGGGGATACTGTTTTAAATTAAATATGATCTTTATTATTTCATTACAATGGCTCTGTGCTATTTGTACAAATAATGTAGGGTGTTCGTTTTTTGTGCGGAAATAATTACTCTAGTCTATCATATTCTGCTTGCCATCAAATGCTGTCCCTCTGCTTGTCACCAGGCATGTGCCTTGTCCATATTAGAAGCTGAGGGCTAAATTTAGCCAAGTTTCATGGGTTCTTACATGTTTCACAGCAAAGTTAGCTAAGCATATTCAGATGTGGCCGTGCCTTTAAGAGTACAGCTCAAACCAGCCTCCTTGTATATATCACAAAATTCCATTCACCATGATTGATATTTCGGTTGGAACATCATTACATGACTAAACTCAATTTTATAATTGGATAAGGCCAGAAACAATAAACTGGCACTGTATTGTTATAGCATCCTACATCTTAAAAGTATCTGTAATCATAAATCAACCTAATTATTTGAAATACTGTCATGAAGTGGAAAAGAAGAGGAATTAACAGAACTAGCTGCATGAATATCTCATTTTGTTTTCTAAGGCCCAAAGCATTTTATTGGCACTTAATCCCAGCACCACAATGGCTGGTAAACCATACTCTTTAGATAAAATCATGCACACATCAAATCAATAAGTTAAAGGATTAAAAGCCTTCCCCTCCCCCCCCACCACCACGTGTCAAACAGCAATGGCTGATTCTTTGGGTCATTCATAAAGTAATGGGACTAAGGAGTCCAGAGGTCAGCTAGAAGAATAACAGCTCATTTTATTAAGAGCTAAATTCATCTGCATTTTCACGGCAAACTCAAGAGCTACTGGAAGTGGAAAATCCAATTTCTGGGTAATTTCATGATAATAGCTCGCATTCGTATGGTGCTTTAAAGTTTACGAAACACTCTCTCCACAAAGAACTCACGCCCCCAGAGAACTTCTATGATGGATATGAGCTCCTTGAGAGGAGCTGTTCCATTCTTTGTCTCGGAATCCCCAGTGCCAAACACAGTCCCTGGCACACAGTAGGAACTTTTCCAATTGCCTGACTCATTGACATGTTCATGGAGTCATCTTCAGGCTACATTTTCACTGGTCAAAAGCAAGTTACAGTAGCTTACGCTTTCAAGAGTGTCAGAGCCAAATAAATACTCTATTCTCTAGTTTGGGAGCAGTGTCTGCTTCCACCAGAACAATAACAATAATAATAGTTGGTGTGTATACAGCTCATTAAATTGACAAAGTGCTTCATATTCTGTTACTTCATTCGATCTCCACAACGTTATATGTATAATCCCCATTCACCAGGTGAAGAAACTGAGGTCAGATGACTTCTAATGGGCACATAAATAGTAAGTATCAGAGAATGAGATTCAAACCCGTTTGCCTCTTGCTGCTCAGACAAGCATTCTGACACCCCCCCTCCCATGGAAAGAGCTTAAAGGAATGAGAAATGCCCCTCTATGTATTCTGCAGTCAGAAGAACAAAATATAACATAATGCAAAACAAAACAGCAAACCCAAAATACCAGTAATGACAACAACATTTATATAACGTTTACTATGACCAGGCACTATACTAAACACAACAATTACTATCTCTTTTGATCCTCACAACAACCTTGGGAGGTAAGTGCTATTATCATCCTCATTTTACAGATGAGGAAACTGAGCCAAACAGAGGTTAAGTGACTTGCCCAGGGTCACACAGCTACTAAGTATCTGAACTCAGGTCTTTCTGACTTCAGGCTCAGTGGTCTATCCATTATGCCACCTAATAACTGGGGGAGTTAATGGAGATACAGAATTATAGGGAAAGGGACTTGACATACAGGGAACTCTCAGATGAGGAAAATCCCTCCACCAATCCAGGTCTCTTGCCTTCTTTGCAATTTACAGACTTAATTAAGCACCATCTTCTGCATGAAGCCTTCCTGACCTCTGCCATCACTCCCAACTGCTAGCACCCTCTCTCCCAAACTCCTTTGTATTGACTTCGGTACATACTATTTTGTATATTCGTACTTACTAACTTTGTGTTCATGCTGTACAGTATATATATTTATATGTACAGTACTGTTTCCCCCATCAGAATATAGGTTCTCACAGTAGGAATTTCTGATTTTTTCCATTGGTAGCCCCAGGTCCTGGTGCACAACAGACTTTGGATAAAGACTCATTGATCTATTGCAGTGGCCTGGAACACTGACAAGAGAAATGAAGAGTCCAGGGTCACACAGCCAGTCTGGGTCAGAGGTGGACTTTGAATCCAGCTTGTCCTGACTCAGAGGCTGCTGGGCTCTCTAGCTGCTGGGGGATACTGCTTCACAGAATAATTAAATGGATTAAGAATTAACATAGATCTTTCAATCTAACTTCCTTATGTTACAAATGAAAAAAAAAAAAAAAACAGAGACCAAAGAGATGAAATGATTTGTCCAGAAGAGCAGGACTGGAACCTAGGTCTCCTGACTCCAAGCCCAGGTTTTTCATTAGCCTCATTATTTATCAGCAAGCAGTGAGTGACCTTTGGTACAAGCCTGGATCAAGCAAGGGGAAGCATGGAACTGAGCAGGGTAAGAAGACCTGGATATTTTCCCTCGGGAGTCGCCTCCAGTCCTACCCTCAAATGCAGAGTCAGGGCCAGGCAGGCAGCTCCCTGGGTCTGCCCATTGCACAGATCACAAAACTTAAGAAGCAGTGTAGACAAAGTCCTGACCTGGGATTGGCTGTGTCTACACTTTAAGAATTCCCTCTACCGAGAACTTCCTTCCTTTTCTTTTTGAATCTATATCTTGACTCTACCTCCTTTGGCACCGGTGTCCACACAGAAGGTAGCAGCATTTTCTCCGTCTGACATACATTTTTCTGAAAAGGAGGCATAACCACTAGATAAAGGAAAAAAGGATGAGGAGGGTGGGGGAAAGAGAACTATATTGATGCTGTATCTATCAATCAATAAACATTTATTAAGTACCTACAAAAAGAGGCAAAAGACAGTCCCTGCCTTCAAGGAGCTTACAGTCTAATGGGGAAGAAAGCAAGCAAACAAATATAGACAAAACAAGCTATATATGGGATAAATGAAATAATTAACAGAGAGAATATATATTTGTCTTCCTTATTAGATTATAAGCTTGGTGAGAGTAGGAACTGTTTCATTCTTTGTATTTGTACGACACCAAGCAACTTCCTCCCATTGGAGATTTGGCCAAAGGTTCAATTACAGGGCAGGGGTTGTGTATGCCAATTTAACGCTTGCATGTTCGGGGTCAGGCACAGAACCTTCAGGCACTCAGTATACATTTATTAAGCGCCTACTATGTGCTGGACAGAGTAGACAATGGATATTGACGGTATTTAAATGAATCTTGAAATAATAACCAAATGAATGAAAAAGTACTTTTAAAGTTTAGTATGCTCCAGTCACTGGCAAAAGTGAGAAATATTTCCCTGCCCTCAAGAAGCCTATATTCTAATAGGGGACATAACCCATACTGGGGCCAGGGAAGGGTGTTTTGGTATGAGAAACCCAGGGATGGGGAATGGAGTTAGGCCTTCCAGAAACAATGGTAGAATGGATGTTTTCTCAGTTCTACCCCAAACAGAAACACAATACCACACACAAAAGGAATAATAACAGGCAAGCAAAATTAGGCATGCATGGTGCAGTAGAAAAGAATGTTCTGTCTAGAGTCAGAGGAGCTGGGTTCAAAATCCTGCCTTTGTTATTTGGGCAAGCCACTTCTCTCTCTGGACCTCAGTTTCCCCAACTGTAAAACGAGGGTGCTGGGCCGGATAGCCTCTAAGGTCTCCTCCAGCTCTAAATCTGGGATCACTGATTATCTGGGTCTCAACTGATTCACCTAAAACAGAGAGGTCAGACTATACCACCTCTAACGTCCCTTGTAAATCCTGTAACTAGGCCCATTAAAGCAAAGTTCACTGGAGGCTCATGATGCAAGCTGGCGTTGCCCCTCTATATTAGGCTCTTTTATTCAAGTTGAAATCTCCTCTTCCACAGAGTCCACATTGACACTGTGACGCTTGGCACTACTGGGAGGACCGACCAGGCCCCAGCAGCCCAGCACTGTGAGTGTCAAGGCCCTTCTGCCTCTAGAAAAATTTAACTACCAATTGCTTGCATTTCATTTTCAGCCTTTCTTTTTTTTCCCGCTCTTACAGGACACAAAAGAACAGGACCTTGGTAACTTGTGCAAGGAAAAGAAGACGAAGAGTTTGAACTGAGACCTGCATCTTCTTCCTCCCTCCCAAATCAGAGCTGCTCTACAAGGAGAAGATGCCACAGAATGTCATAATGGAAGAAACCAAACTGAAAAAGGGAAAAGAAAGCTTGTTCTTTTTTTTTCCCCCAAATGAAGTTCAGTGCTTTTGCCTATTAAAGTAAACCAAATATGTTTCTCTCAAAAAAATTAATGCCAAAAGGCAAGATGCCAACCACAGTGAACAGATAAATCACTGTTCAAGGGTATTTTTTCCCTTTCTTTTTCCCCTTATTTTTATTTTTTTCCCTCTTCTGACAACAAACTTCCAACAAGTAAACACAACACTTACTCCCCACCTTTTGATTTTAACTCCAAACTGTCAACTTTTGGAAGAAAGCCGTGTGGGATTTTTTTTTTGGGGGGGAGGGGGAAGAAAACATGATGAAACAAATTCTAACCTCTTCATCAAAAATCAGAACCAAACCATTATACCACAAACCACATATAACTTCTAATTGTAATTCATTTATTACTAAGGTCACTGTAAACTAACTGGGAATGTGTAAACAGAAATGAATCACGGGTTTCATTTGTGTGTACTTTTCAAACTGGAAGACCTAACAGTTTCATGTTCCAACATACGAAAGAGAATTACTCCTATAAACCTACTCAGCGCTCTCTGCCAGCGCTTTCCATTTAATTAAACTGACAGCAAAACAGGGCTCTTACTAATTTGATCCAGACCAATTTTCCTTCAATGTAAATTCTCAGGCATGAAATTACATCTGAAACAGACACAATAATCCTTCTATATCTTAGACATATGTTTAATCTGTAATAACAATTCCTTTGTCTATTCTACAGTTTGCTTTGGAATCCAACGATCCTTGTTTTGGGTTGGAAATCTCAAGACGTATTCGACTTGATCTCTGCATTATTTGTCTTGACTTTCTATGAGGTTTTCTCCAGTGCCCTCTCTACATGCATTCATTGGTTCTAGAGAAGGAAAAAGTTGCTTCTCTCTACCAAAGCCCATCTTTCTAATATGAATATTCTCCCTAGGATGCTACAGTACATAGCTCTGAGTCATGGAAGGCAATGGTCTCCCAAGAACCAACACTTCAGGTGACCCACAGCACAAAGGAAGGACACCTGGAGTGTGTTTATGTGAGTGAACGAAGCATATGCTTAAGACGACTTGCATCAAATAAGCAAATGCTGCAAAAAAGAGGTGGAGGCTGGTCCTGCGGTCAGGGCAAGGGTTAAGAGACGGAGAGTTAGAGTGTTGTACTGGTATCCACCAAATAGTAAAGCATCTAGAGGAAGGCCTCAAGCAACTGGAGAGATGTATGGAGCATTTCTGGGGAGAAATGGCTAAGAATCATCTGTCCCAAGGTGGTAAGATAATGGGGTCATCATCAGAATGAAGTGAATTTCTGACTACATTACTATGCCCCCAATCACTTATTTCAGTAAGATCGTCCTCACTGATTATTTGCTTCCTATAAAATGATGGGATGGAGTTGGATTAGACCAGAGGTTCTTAATCATGAACTGTTTAAAAAGATTTTTGATAACTGTATTTTAATATAGTTAATTTCCTTTATACTCCTAAGTATTTTATTTTTTGCATTTAAAGCCATCATTCTGAGAAGGCATCCAAAGTCTTCACCAGACTGCCAAAGGAGATCCATGGCACAAAAAGAGTTAGGAACCTCTGGACTCCTATTCAAGGCCCTCCATTGGCTGTCTTCCCCCTACCTTTCCAACCTTATTCCCTTCTACATTCCCTTCTACACATTCTTACCACAGAGCCTCTTCTTCATCTCCCATTATCATCTGGCCCTCTCTCATCGTGCACGATGCCCATCCTATCCCCGTGCAGAGAACAGCCCCTCCCCTTCATCTCCATCTGCTAAAGTCCTTCTCTTCCCGACACAAAGTTATTGCTTAGTCAAATGCCAGTGGACTGGCTGACTTCCTTCAAGACTAGTCCCAGATACCACCTTCCCTATGAATCATTCCCCAGTCTCCCCAACTGAAAGTGATCTTTCCTTCATCAAATTCTTCATCACACTTGACTCAGAGTTCTCTGAATTTGTAATAATTGCTATTATTCACCTGTGTATTATTCAAACTTGGGCACACCCTCTCCAACCTCTCCCTCTACCCCCTCACTAAGATTATAATCTCAAAGCTAATGATGAAAGGTTCAGAGCTAGAAGGGGCCTGAGATGGACTTCTGTCCATACTTCTGGGAAGGTCTGTTTGTATTTCACAATTATGTCTGAAGTTCATCAAGTTCTGTATTTCATATCAGAAAGTCTGGTTATTAAGTATTTTCATTCCCTACTAGCCTCAACAGAAAAGATTTTAATTAAGTTCTTAGTCCAGAAAAAAAAAAGTATAAAAAAATCCAGCCCACTGCAATATTACTAAGTTGGTTGATTAGTCATCCATTAACCAGTTACAGGTCAGTGTTACACATGAAGGCAAACTCAACTGCTCTCCATACCTACCCTCTCATTAATGCGGCGGCTCTCTCTAAAGGGCACAGATCTAATCATTCAGGTCTTCTCATTTTGCGGATACCCAGAGGGTCTCCCTAACAGCTGGAGAACTTCTTCCCAGTCTTTGGCCAATATGTAGGTACTAACACAACACTTGGGTTCCTTATATGAATGAGTCACTATGTCTTCCAGTCATACATTTCCTCACTGATATCTTTTCCTCCACTCCTTAAATACAAGTTGTCATTGGTAAAATTCTATAGCCTCCTGATACCCATTATTCATCCTGCCATCACCCTTTGGGTCAACAACAATTTTTGCTATTCTGAAATCAGGAGGTTCTGTGATGTATTAGCTTCACTTTATACTACTTCAAATAAAGATCATTCTACCTATGAATAATTTCCCATTATTTGGTGAGAGAGACCAATATAGTAGAGAAAGCATCGGTTTGAGACTCAGGAGATCTGGATTTGAACCCCAGATAACTACTTTATTTAATAGCTGGATGACCTTGTGAAAATGATTTTTCATTCTTTGTCCCTGATTTTCATCATCTGGAAAACGAAGGAGCTGGATTTGATGGTCCCAGCTCTAAATAATCTATGATTCTATGACTCAGTGATCTCCTAAGCTACCTTCTAATTCTTATGGGCCATGATTTCACCTTTTCCAGGAATTCAGACATACAAGAGGTCAAAGAGAAAATCCCTCACTTAAAGATGAGAAAAATCCAAATTACCTTCAGGGCTCTAACTCTACGAAAGTCTTGTCAATTCAGTGTTCATCAAATCATACATTTAAAACTTATAACCAGCTCGATCTTGTCAGCTAATAATAATACAGACTGTGTGTATGCATATGTGTGATATATATATATATATATATATATATACACACACACACACACATAGTATATATATATTATATATATATATTTATATATATATACACACACATACACACATATAGTATATATATATAACATATATATATTTAATATATATAACATATATATACTTATATATATATATATACACACACACACATATGTATGGATTATGTAATATAGACTAAATTATACACCATAGACTAAGAGTTTCAATTCATACATTGTTTTTCAGTTAATATCACAAATCCATTTGCACTCCTATCATCTAAATCTTCCTTTCTCTTCATAAAGACTTGTTAACATGATTATTTGTTCATCTGAACAAAGGGATAAAGGGCTGTATGCTACATCTTGAGGGTCTGCAAACAGCCTGCAGCAGATCTGTTAACCCTGACAGAGGCACAAAGCCAAATAACTATATTCTGCACATTATAAACTGCTGGTCTTGTGTCCTATAAAACATACTCTAGCACAGAGAACCAAGCTATAGGAACTAAATTTCAGGAGGAGCTGGGTGGGCTAGCTGGACCACAGGGCTAATGGTTCCCGCTTTTGGCCAATCTATTCCTCATCAAGAGCGTTAAAGGACTGACAGCTACCATAGAATGTCTACTTATGCCTTCATCTGAAAAGAAAATGGCTCCCTAGGTCAGCCAAGAAGAGGATTTTCACTGTCGTTTTCTTCACTTGGCCCTGGGGAAGGACTATAGTTGACATAAGGCTCAACATTTCAGTGAGTGGAGAGGTAACAATTCCACACCTCCCTCCCACTTCCATGCCTATTTTGAAAACATCTTGGCACTCCCTCTGTCACACTGGTAACCAAACTCAACCAGCAATGAAGACATCATTCGGTGTGTCAGAGTGAGTCATTTTTCAAGTCAACAAGCATTTAAGCACCTACTACGCTCCAAGCACTGTGTTATGGACATGAATACACCTTCTAAGCAGCTGAAGCAGAGGCACCCTGAGAAGACAAGCCTCAGATGAGTTACCGAAATTTTTATCTGCAAAGAGGAGAATGAATGCCACTGTTTTCTTAGAAAGTAGAAAGCAAAGAATTTTATTAAAAAAAAAAAGCAGAAGGAGGGGTGTGGGGGTGGGACAACCATCTACTAAATATCCTGACAGTCTCTTTGAAAATGAAACATTTCATATATACCGCAGAAGACGACAGTCGCGGCAAGATTAGAAATCATTTCACATCTCACAGGTAACCAAAATCCAGCCTTTTCATGGGTATGGAAGGTCTCTTGTATTACAGAAAATGCTAAACAAACAATTCTATGGGCAGAAATGTGAAACCAATTTATTATTGTTCTATTCACTTTGGCTAAAGACTGTAGAAAACCACACAAAATCTAAAAATAGAAACCTTTTGGGGGGCAGAGGGAGGGAGGGGGATATTAAAGAACTGTTTCTCATAGGTCCAAAGAGAACTGACATGAAATTGATACCCCTTCTCATTGGTCGGGGGCACTGCTCTAATTCAGACCAATGCCCAAACAGTCTACTATTACATCTGTAAATGAGCAAGGCAGAAAACTTGCCCACGATTTCTTTAGAAAAGAAAAATCAAGGTCATCATATCACAAATCAGTTGAGCTTTTTTCCTTTGTTTTTCGTCAGTAGTGAATTTTTTTTTGGGGGGGGGTGGTGGTTGTCCTTCATATCAGATGTGGACTTCTTAACCATTTACGCCAATACTTTTCATTATGCCATAAAATAATAACAACTCATGTTTCTGTAACATTTTACAGCTACAAAATGTTTCCTTAACAACAATCCTGTAAGTCAGGTAATGCCAATGCTGTTGGCTCATTCAACAGATAAGTAACAGACTCAGAGATGAAGTGACCTGGCCAAGGTCACACAGCAAATAGACTGTACAGCCAGGATTTGAACTTGGTCTTCTGGGTCTAAGATCTGGGTGCTTTCCACTACCCCAAACAGAGGAAGCTTGGTACTTATAGGAGTAATGATTTGGAAATATGACGCCTTTCAATGACATTCTGTTAACAAATCTTTCATGGGCGATGGGAGAAATACAATAAGGTCTTTAGGGATCAGTATGGTGTTTGGACAGGACTAAATTAACCATCAGTTGAATTCAGTTCCTTAAGACTGGGACAAAGTAGAGCATATCCAGAAGAGGGCAATGAAGATGGTGAAGCATCTGAAAATCACACCCAATGGGGAATAGCTGAAAGAACTGGGTCATTCACTCTAGGAGACAGAGGGAAGGAGGGAAGGAGAGAGACAGAGGCAGAGAGGAAAAGAAGAAGAAGGAGGAGGAGGAGGAGGAGAGGACAAGAGGTACTTAGGGATGTCTGGTCTTTATCCTCAACTATCTAAAAGGCTAATGTGGAACAAAG